AAAAATGTTGCGTATGAACTTTACGTGAATTGATCGTGCAAAGACTTTTTTGTTTGCAAAAGTTGTCTCATTACGATACTTCATTGGCTTCTTTTTCCGCCCCAAGAGTCCTGTGGGTTGCTTATGTTAATATGTGGTGCACAAAAAAGACACGTTTAGGTGCCATTCTTGCCCCCACAACGGCGGCCGATTTCGGATAGGCATGATCAAAAGATCTTCTCTTTTTAAGCGTCATCGATTTGATCTTTTGATCTGCCATGCCTCTCTTGTGTTTTGGTTTTAACTCTTTCTTCGAGAGCTTCCTCCACCATATAGGCTTTTAAGGAAACTTCTTGTTCTCTTCATTTCGATCCCTGTGCAACGTCCGGAGCGGAGTTGGGTCGGCGATCCAACACGTCCTAAATTTATTATACGGATGTCAATTCGGTCCTAAACTTTCTAATTTTGTTAATATAGTCCTGAATCTTTTTCGTGATTCCAATATTGTCTTTCCGGCCAATTTTTGCCAGAAATCGTTGACGTAGAGGTCCGGTAATCCGCGGCCATCTTATGTTGCACCTCGCCATGTTATTAATTTTTGGCGAAAATTGGCCGAAAGAGTTATATTGAAATTTCACGCAAAAACTTAGGACTAAATTGATAAAATTGAAAGGTTTAGAACTGAATTGACATTCGTACAATAGGTTTCAAGATTGATTGGACAATTTCCCCTCAATCTTTCACAATCTCATTAGTTCGAGCCATGTCATGAGTACGTCTCTAAATGATTTGTGCTCTTTAGTGTTGTAACGTCGTTCGGGAAGATTACGGATTGCTGACACGTCAATCGAGCCGTGAAGATGGCTTGATATCTATCTGTTCTTGCACACTACGAGTGGTCGGGAATTGGCCATAAGGACTACATTATCACGCAAAGATTCAGGACTGAATTGACAAAAATAAAAAATTCAGGACTGAATTGACATCCGTAAAAATAGGTTTAGGACTGATTGGGTAATTTCTCCTCTGTCTTTCACAATCTCATTAGTTCGAGCCATGTCGTGAGTAGTCTCTGAACGATCCGTGCTCTTGAATGTCGTCACCTCATTGGGAGAAATTACGGATTGCTGATACGCCGGTCTAGCTGTGAAGATGGTGTGATATTTATTTGTTCTTGCACGCTACGCGTGGACCGGAATTTAGCACGACTCGGATTCATGTTAAACCTAGTTAGCACTTCCACCAAAAAAAGAAAGACCTAGTTAGCACCACGTCTCTCTTTGATTATATCTTTGGTCATAACGGCATGCAAACCTTTGAAAAATTCCAACCTTGTTTCTTGAATTTGTTTTCAATTGAAATTTGTCTTGAGGACCAACATGGAAATCGTGGGCGCTCAACGAGGTCGTGACTCAGACGGTCAGACAAATGATTCCTTCAATCTTGTGCAACGTGGATAGGAAGAAAAGATCCGATCACCCCAAAATCGACATGAACTCCGACCCAAAAATTATATGGTTTTTGCGCTATGATTTCATCGTCAAGGAGACGGGGTTGATCTGAAAAAAAATCAGCACCTTGGTGAACATGTAGTTGAATCTTTGTTTCGGACAAGGAACAAGGAAATATCCAAAGTTGTCGCGGTCTAAAACCTAAACGGACCATTTGTTTATCCTGCGATTTTTCCTGTACAGTACAGGGGACATTCGATGACATCTTCGGTATGGACATCACGGTGCACGCGATAGCGACGCACCGAGTTTAATTTAGTGTTAACTCCAATCCTCAAAAGTTTTCTGCCTAATTTCTATTTTGGCAAATTTTCCCACCTTGCAAGAAAATTTCTGTGCTGGATTCTGCTCTTTAGGTTCGGTTTTTTGCATAATGCATGGCCTCATAATAGGGAAAAGTGTCAAAAAAGTCCTAAATCTTTTACGTTGGTGCCAATTCAGTCCTAAACCTTTTTTTTGTGCCAATTCAGTTATAAACCTTTTGCATTGGTGCCAATTTAGTCCTAAACATTTTTTTGGTTCCAATTCAATCCTAAACCTTTTGCATTGGTGCCAATTCAGTTCTAAACATTTTGCATTTATGCCAATTTAGTCCTAAACCTTTTTTTTTGTGCCAATTCAGTCTTAAACCTTTTGCATTTGTATCAATTCAGTCATAAACTTTTTGTATTTGTATCAATTAAGTCCTTCGACACGTGAATAGTTATTAGCCGGAAGGATTGAATTGGCATCAATGCAAAAGGTTTAAGACTAAATTGGCACAAAAAAAAAATTTAGGACTAAATAAGTATCAATGCAAAAGGTTTAAGATTTTTTTGACACTTTCCTTCCTCGTAATGGGATGATGCCGGGCTGTTCCAACACAAACAGCACCCCCCCCCCTTCTTGGGCTAGACTAATCATGGGAGATCTTAATTTCTATAGAGAATTTTAATGGAAAACGGATCATTTTCTCAGGAAATTTGTCATAGCCCTACTAAAGGTTTAGAAAGTCCTTCAAGATCTTAGGGGGGGCCAACTGGTTTAGGAAATGCGGGACTGACAAGGATGGAGGATTGACGAGTTTGTTTACTCTTTCTCCACAAGAGAATCGGGATTACTGGCTAGCTATAGATGCTCCTTCCTGTTATATTTCTTTAATAATACTTGACAGAGACAAAAGGAAACTGCCCACTTGAGAGAAAATGCTACCCTTCAGTTTCTCTGTTTGCCCACCAAACTTCTCTTCTCTCGGGCTGTGTCATACACAACACATGTAAGCTACAGTTCCTCCTTCCCTCTGTTTCTGTCGTGCCACTTTCAAATTTTGATTGGGTTTCGATGAGATCAACGATCTCAAATGCATGAATGCAACTACCAAAGAGACTTTTGGGCTTCTGGGTATTGTTGATTCTTTGATGGGGGTGACAAGACCAAAAAACGACGACGACAAGAAAGAGGTCACATGGACATGATCTTGAAGTTGAAGCTCGCTTGTTGCGGAGGAGGAGGGTTCTATCGCTTTTTATGTCCTGCTTGGCTGGTGTCTCTCTTTCTGCGATGAGAGCTGAAAGATTTGACCTTTACCGGGACATACTCGCTCTTCCTTGTTTCTTGATTTTTCCATATGCAGAAGGTCAACATGGTAATGGACATAGTGATCTCGGGGGTATTGCTGCTTGTGGGGATTGCTGTGTTGGTGGTGATACATTTGTGCATAGTTGGGAGGCTGTTTAGAGAAGGGCACCAAAATGGGGCCTCCGTCCAAAGGGTCAGTGCTCCAACCGTGACCATCTCGAGTCAGGATCTGGACAACCTGCCTTGCTTTGATTATGCGGGAGGGACAGCGGACAGAGGGACTAATAACGGGCCTGTGGACTGCGCAGTTTGCTTGGAGAGCTTCAAGGTGGGTGAGAAATGCAGGTCACTGGCCAATTGCAACCACAGCTTCCATGCTCAGTGCATTGACTCTTGGCTCTTGAAGACACCCATCTGCCCAATATGTCGAACTCGGGTCATCATCCGCTCGAGGAGTTTCAAAAACTTGGTCGAGGAGACTAGCGTGCCCGGTGATGTTACAATTGAATTGACATAGAAAGCAAAAGAGCATCACGGTATTGTTACTGCAAATTGTTGGATCCTCGGCGATTCCTGGGTGGCCAGGGGGTTGAGCTCGGCTGGCTTACTCTTTTACTGTTATCATTGCTTGTTTCGCCTTTAGGCCTGATGGATTCTTTCAAAGGCCGAGTTCTTTTTATTTGAAGAAATTTTAGGCAAACGCAAAATTTTGTCAGTCATTCTCTGTAAAAAGAAAAAGGTTACACAGTTATTCTTCTGAGTGGTAGGGCTATGAGAGCAAGGCAATGGTGTCAAAGTTCCGCACCTGTTCTTGGTAATATGGCGATGGTGCGCTGGAAAACAGAGGTTGTGTTCAGCTGTGCATTTTGTCATCTAGGCCTTCTTTTGTTTCCTTTCTCCCTTCTGTTTATAAAATACACACGACTTGTAGCTTGTTCTTGCACTTTCTTGGGAGACATTGCACTGTTACATTCCATCGTTCTTTTAGCTTCGGGTACCTTTTTGTTTTTCTCAACAGAAAAGACAGGACAAGATTTTTTGAACACAACAGGCTCATTGAGACTTGATCCAGAACCAACATCAAGGAGGACTGGACAAAAAAGTACCCTAAAGTGTTCCAGCATGCTATATCGAAATGATCCATGAAGACTACCAATGGCAGGCACGCCGAGATAACAAAGTTTTAAAACAAACTAGGATTGCACCGCACATCGTATTCCCGATGGAAGTTGAGGGCGATGGCCTACGTCAGGCCCTCGTGGAACCGCCTGCGCACAACCCACCAAAGAGAGAATAACAAACCGACGGTACAACCAGGACCGCAGCTCGACAGGCAGCTCGGTCCAACGGGCCAGATGTTAGGAAGGGTTGTCCAAGATACCTAATTATTCCTCGTTTGTATTTGTACCCGAAGTCACTCTTACAAGGCAGCAAAAGTACGGTTAAGAAACAAACGCTACGCAAACAAAGTAGTACCCAACACAATGCAGACACAGTTTCATGTCACATCCCAAATTTCACCAGACAACCAATTAAGCGACCTCATGCTCCATAATTACATATGATGTTATTCCCAATCCAGCGTATGAAAACTCTGAAAGGCATGGAATCTACAAAGGCCTGCAGATCTCTGCACCAATGACAGCATGCAACTTCATGTAGATCTCCTCAATCTGCCATTTTTTTGTGCGGGCAGTTCATATCAATCATCACTTGATTGCGCACATGCACAAATACAGACAAACAGATTATCAAAATCTAACCCCCTAATTGATTAATCACTGCATTGCAGGACAAGCACTCTGTCAGTGACAAATCAAGAGGAGTCATCAGCAGCAAGTTTTTATGAAAAAGCAAAATAGCTCTCTAGTATTCCAACAGACTAGCCCATCACAGCTGTATGATTTCACGCCAATTCAGAAGCCCAGAAAGTCGAAGATAGACAGACACCGCTAAAAATTATATTGCTATAGACACACTGAATAGGATCTTAACTCGTGCGCTTTTGATTGCTTCTCAAATCCTCGTCAGAAGACAAGAGAATTGAGTTCTCTACCAGTACAATTGTCTATTCAAGTGAAGCAACGCTCGAAGTCAAATCCTGTTCACAATTCCATTTCTTCAAACTAAGTAAGTTCGCTCGCTGATGTTCTCAAAAAGGGGAAAAGAAAGAAAAGGCCAGGAATCGTCTATCAAGTTTAGAAGGCGAAACATAATAAAGCAAGCATATTTCTCCAAATCTGTCTCAGTTCTTCTCAGCATTGTTTTCAAGCTCCCTCCTCAGCTGCAGCGAAAAATCATCATTGACATCATCATCATCCCAGTCGTCTTCCCACTGCTGAGTCACTTCCTTCCCTTCTTCTTTATCCTCCCATTCTGTCAAAAAATTTTGGGAACAAAACACAATTAAAGAATTGAACGGCGGTCATGATCAGCTAAAGAGGACGAGAAGAAAAGTCAAATTATCTGGAACAAATGGAAGCCGCTCGCAATAAAACAACAGAAAGATGATAAGCTACTTGAACAGTAATTAGATGGTGGGCAAAAACGACTGCAAGAATCTACATTTAGAAAGAGGCAGAAGCAGGCCATAAACACACAGAGTAAGTAGTAAGATCCTCAAATATTCATGTATCTTCCCTCCAAAGAAGCACAAATGAATCTGGTCTGGCCCTACAACATGAAATAAATGACATCTTGGCCCGCATTGCTGCGTGAGCAATTGACAGCAACACCTATTAAGCATTTGTATCTGGATAAAAAGACCAGTACGAGAAAGAATTGCCCTCATCGGTTTAGCAACCCCAATATTCTTGAATTTCAGTACTATGATCGCCTGTCCTACTAGAGATAAAATGATATACTTGAAGCTGGCAATTTTCTGTGACGCTCCGGCAGATCGTTCGAAATGTCTCCACAGCCTACAACTTTCAACAACAGCATGCAAATAGAATACCGATTCTCCGACAAACTCTCCTACGCTTCAAACGGTGGATAGAGCATGCAAGATATAGGATCTCCCGATGTAGAAACGCAATAGTTCTCAATGACCGATACCCAACCAACATAAACAGACGATCAAAACGAGCACATCCAAGGGATTCAACATGCTACAATAACAGCTAGGGTATTTCATCAATGAAATTCTCATCCCTCGTCCTTCAGAAGCTCATCACCTGCGCTAAAGCTACAAATTTACCTCCTCGCGGCCATTCCCTAGAGCTGAATTCGTGAAAGAACTAAACCTCCCTCCAACCGAGTTCAGACAAACAATGCTCGATTACATCTAACATGCCCATTTCTCGCGCATATGAACTAAGCTCGAAAGCGCTCGAACCATAGGCGGCGCGTGCCCAGGTTCAAGAAACGCAGGAGGCTCCGCCGAAGAAAGCAGTTACCTTCGTTGATCTCAAACTCCTCGAACTCGTCGTCGTCTTCGAACAGGTCCATCTTCGCCTCTTCCGTCGCGGGTTTCGTCTCGGTCGCCATTTCAAGCTCGGATCAAGAACACCCTCTCCCTCAAACAGAACACCTGCAAAAGGGGAGGCCCAAAAAAGTACAGTCTCAAGCTCCGCCGTCTCGCGATCGCAATCGACGGGGGTGGGGGTGGGGATGAAAAACGAAATTTTGCAACTCCAAAGCACGCGCGATTAGGTCAAGAAACCGACCAAACGGAACCGTCGAAAACAAGAACAAGACGACCCAGATTCAGACCGAAACCAAAGGAACCGACCGCAAACAAGAACCGATCGAAAGATTCACGAACTAGCAGAGAGAGCAAACATCGCCGCCCAAAGCTTACCTCTTTGAATCGAATCTCCAGATGCTGGTGCTCTCGAGCAAACTCCAACGTAGCACGCAATCCCCCGCAAAGAGCGATTTTTTTATAGATCATGCGGCCGTCGCCCTCCCTTCGAGGCCCACTGGCCCAAGAAGAGAGAGATTGAGGCTTGGCCCTCAAGCAAAAGGCTGAAACTTTGGGAGGGGGAAACGTGAGAATTTGAAATCGATGGTAGAATTATTATCTTTCTCCTCGTGTAAATGATGATCGACGTGTTTAAGCCTCTCCGTCGAGACAATGGATCGAAGAAACTCGGATCATGTTTCTGTGGGATCTTTGATTTCTGCAAACCCCATTTGATTATTGTCTGCTTTCGAGGGAAAAGTGCCACAAAAGTCTAAACCTTTTGCATTGAATGTGCAATTTAGTCCTAAACATTTTTTTTGGTGCCAATTAGTCATAAACCTTTTGCATTGGTGCCAATTTAGTCATAAACCTTTTTATTTTTGTGCCAATTTAGTCCTTCCGATCAAAATTGACCGGAATTTGCCGACGTGGATGCCTGCTCGGGTCGGACGAGCAAGTCGACGTGGCGCCGACGTTGACAACTTTAATAATATTTTTTTTTCTTTTTTTTTTTTTTTTGTCCACTTTTTTGGGTCCCCCTCCTTCCTCTGGCCAGTCGCCGGTCTGAAAAAAAAAGTGGAAAAAAAGAAAAAAGGAAAAAAAAATTAAAATTAAAAAATTATTAAAGTTGTCCACGTCGGCGCCGGTGACCGGCCACCGGCCGGCAGGTGTCCACGTCGGCAAATTCCGATCAAAATTGACCGGAAGGACTAAATTGGCACAAAAACAAAAGGTTTAGGACTGAATTGGCATCAATTTAAAAGGTTTAGGACTTAATTGACACCAAAAAAAGGTTTAGGACTAAATTGGCACCAATGCAAAAGGTTTAGGACTGAATTGGCACAAAAAAAAGGTTTAGGACTAAATTGGCACTAATGCAAAAGGTTTAGGACTTTTTTTGCACTTTTCCCCTGCTTTCGACGTCCCGCGAATGATGCACGAATTATGCAGGCTTGTGCTCGTTTACTTGAAAACGATTCCTCCCGAGTGTGCAAGCTCCAAGCTATCGAAAGTCACGTACTTTGTGTTTTTTTCCGAAGAAAATTATATTCATCTCAAAAGAATACATGAGAAGAACATGGACTTTCATGGCAAAGCAAATCAAAGCCTAGAATACTATAAAACAAAACCAAATCCAAAAAACAAGGAGGATCAACAAACTGCCAGGTTAAGTACATACTCGTTCCATAAGAACACTGTCAAGCAAAATTATCGGCCGATCATTGGATATCATATCATCATCAGTGATAAGTACATGCTGGAAATTCCTTCTCCAATAATTACGACATTGCCAGCTAGCAATGTTTGCCTAGGTTCAACTTCCTCTACACCGTACAACCAAAACAGTTTGAATAAACACATATCTTACTTTTGGAAGAGAAAATCTTCGTAATTCAGTGAAATGCTAGAGCTCCTATGATCACATCATTGAAATAGGCAGAGCACAAGGTATCGAATCCCTGAAAATATTACTAAACTCTCATATCTAAATCGAGAGAAAATAACTCCTAAATCTATAACTAGGTCAAGATAGTTCAAACTCTCGGATCTAAGATCTAGAATTAGACTAGGAGAAAAGAGTTCTCAGATATGCAATACATATAAGATCCACCTTTATAGATATCATCATTTACATATAGAAAGCTGTATGATCTAACTTGTACAATTTTTTCCATTTTGCCATTCAATTGCTAGCTAGGCCAAATACTCTTTTCAGGCGATTCTGATCAGACTCGATCATATCATAAATTAACAGACTCCGTAAGATTTAGTAGAATAAGTAATGTGACGTTAAGATAGATTTTATTTTATCTATTTTATATTTTACCTACTTACAAATGAAGCCATTTTCCTCGGCATCTAACTGTATTAGTGTCTACAATTGATTTTTTCTGTGTAATACTAGATACTTTATTCTATGGATAAAGGATCTAATTGATAGGAGAAAAAAGCTATGTTGCTAAGATTAATTTGGATAAATCCATTGCATGAAACTATTTACCTGAGATTGTCCCTTGGCCCGTAGTTTCATAGGGACCAAGAAATTGGACCTAGCCGTAAGAAGGTTTTTTCAGAACATTCATTCAAGCTAAAGTAGACCTATATGCTTGTGTCACGGTCAAGAGGTTTTCTAACACCAAGGACCGTGACACATTGACGAAGACCCGTCCACAACCCAATGGAGCTTCCGGAATTTTCCCAAGGACGGGCGAGACGGTAATTGTGCCGGGGTTCTAGAGAGTTCTCGGCATAAATGCCGGTAGTTGATAGCTTTCGGAATAAATGTCGGTAGGTGGTCGACGAGAAACGATACGATCTTGGCCACTCGTCTAGAAATCGATCAATGGTTGTAATCCGAGGCCTTCTACTATATAAAGGGGTGTCCTCCTCCTCATTTGAAGCATCCAAACAACAAGAAGCATTTCCTTTCTCTCCCAGAGCTTCTCTCTCTAGGTTCTCTCTCTACGATTCGAGTGTCCGAGCGAGTGAGCTATCGGGAAAAGGCTTGGCCTAGGCATTCCAACTATCCAAGGAAGCCTAAGTCGCTGTACGGGTCGTTCCCAAACTATCGGCCCGTGACAAGTGGTATCATAGCAAATAGAGAGTCCATCCAAGGAGATCGAGGAGCACACCAATTGGTCGAGAGAATGTCGAACCAAGAACAATTCGCTTCGGTTGTTGTGGATGAAAGGGCTCCCAATGAACCGGTTCCCAATGAGCCAGCTGCCCAACCAAAGACTCGTGGAAAATCCAAGAAAAGGGATGCTTCGTCGAACGCCATAGCCGCGGTCGATGAGAAGCTCACGAGAATGAGAACAGCAATGTTGGAATTCATCGAAGAACTCGACGAAGTTAAAGGGCGGATCAACGAGGTTGAAGAAACTCTCCGCCACGAATTCACAAACGTCGTCAATCGCACGACGGCCCCCTTGTTCGATAGGGATGATGTCCTCGAAGCATCCATTGAGGCTCTAAAGCTTGAAGTCGTGGAGCTCAAAGAAGGCAACTCCTCCAAGGCCGAAGTCGAAGCCTTGAAGATGGAGGTGCAAGAGCTCAAGATCGAACTCGTCCTATGCAAAACAAGCATCGCAAACGGTGCATTGTCCATCCAAGCGGCACACAAGCTAGATGTACCGAAGCCAAAAGAATTCAAAGGCAACCGGTCCGCCAAAGAGGTGGACAACTTCCTATGGAGTATGGGACAATACTTCGACGCCATTGGAATCCAAGAAGACTTGGCCAAGGTACGAACCGCTTCTATGTTCCTAGTCGATAATGCCATGCTTTGGTGGCGAAATTGATGTGATGAGACAAAGTGAGGCGCCGATCCCATCACTACTTGGGATGGATTTGTCGTGTTTCATTTCTTCTGGAACAATCACAAACACTTTTTTGATTATGGATCTACTACCAGAAATTCAATGCGTAATCTTAGCATTCAATGTGTATTCCTGAATAATCTCATTTTTCAATTATTCAACCATTTCATTTTACCAAGTTCAATGTTAGCCAGATTAGTCAACATTTATATGTCTCGATGCAACAACAAGATGTTATTTGTAACAAGTAGTTTTGTTGGTTGGTTAATTGGTCACATTTTTTCATGAAATGGGTTGAATTGGTATTAGTCTGGATACAGCAAAATAATTCTATTCGATCGAATGTACAAGTTTCGGATCAAGAACACCCTCTCCCTCAAACAGAACACCTGCAAAAGGGGAGGCCCAAAAAAGTACAGTCTCAAGCTCCGCCGTCTCGCGATCGCAATCGACGGGGGTGGGGGTGGGGATGAAAAACGAAATTGCAACTCCAAAGCACGCGCGATTAGGTCAAGAAGCCGACCAAACGGAACCCTCGAAAACAAGAACAAGACGACCCAGATTCAGACCGAAACCAAAGGAACCGACCGCAAACAAGAACCGATCGAAAGATTCACGAACTAGCAGAGAGAGCAAACATCGCCGCCCAAAGCTTACCTCTTTGAATCGAATCTCCAGATGCTGGTGCTCTCGAGCAAACTCCAACGTAGCACGCAATCCCCCGCCCCGTCGCCCTCCCTTCGAGGCCCATTGGCCCAAGAAGAGAGAGATTGAGGCTTGGCCCTCAAGCAAAAGGCTGAAACTTTGGGAGGGGGAAACGTGAGAATTTGAAATCGAAGGTAGAACTATTATCTTTCTCCTCGTGTAAATGATGATCGACGTGTTTGAGCCTCTCCGTCGAGACGATGGATCGACGAAACTCGGATTGTGTTTTTGTGGGATCTTTGATTTCTGCGAACCCCATTTGATTATTGTCTGCTTTCGACGTCCCGCGAATAATGCACGAATTATGCAGACTTGTGCTCGTTTACTTGAAAACGATTCCTCCCGAGTATGCAAGCTCCAAGCTATCGAAAGTCACGTACTTTGCGTTTTTTTTCTGAAGAAAATTATATTCATTGCTCAAAAGGATACATGAGAAGAACATGGACTTTCATGGCAAAGCAAATCAAAGCCTAGAATACTATAAAACAAAACCAAATCTAGAAAACAAGGACGATCAACAAACTGCCAGGTTAAGTACATACTCGTTCCATAAGAACACTGTCAAGCAAAATTATCGGCCGATCATTGGATCTCATATCATCGTTAGTGATAAATACACGCTGAAAATTCCTTCTCCAATAATTACGGCAATGCCATTTAGCAATGCTTGCCTAGGTTCGGCTTCCTCTACACCATCGTTGTACGAAGACAACCAAAACAGTTTGAATAAAGACATATCTTACTTTTGGAAAAGAAAATCTTCGTAGTTCAGCGAGATGCCAGACCTCCTACGATCACACCATTGAAACGGACAGAGCACGAGGTATCGAATCCCTGAAAATATTATTAAACTCTCATATCTAAATAGGGAGAGAATAACTCCTACATCTATAACTAGGTCGAGAGAGTTCAAACTCTTGGATCTAAGATCTAGAATTAAACTAGGAGAAAAGAGTTCTCAGATATGCAATACATATAAGATCCACCTTTATAGATATCATCATTTACATCTAGAAAGCCGTATGATCTAACTTGTACAAATTTTTCCATTTTGTCATTCAATCGTTAGCTAGGCCAAATACTCTGTTCAGGCGATTCTGATCAGACTCGATCATATCATACATTAACAGACTCCGTAAGATTTAGTAGAATAAGTAATGTGACGTTAAGATAGATTTTATTTTATCTATTTTATATTTTACCTACTTAGAAATGAAGCCATTTCCTCGGCATCTAATTGTATTAGTGTCTACAATTGATTTTTTCTGTGTAATACTAGATACTTTATTCTATGGATAATGGATCTAATTGATAGGAGAAAAAAGCTATGTTGCTAAGATTAATTTGGATAAATCCATTGCATGAAACTGTCTACCTGAGATTGTCCCTTGGCCCCGTAGGTTCTCAAGGACCAAGAAATTGGACCTAGCCGTAAGAAGGTTTTTTCAGAACATTCATTCGGGCTAAAGTAGACCTATATGCTTGCCCCACATTCTTTGAGAATTAGAAAGAATCTTTCATTCGAGCTAAATTAGGCCTAATATAGCCGAGCATGAGGGAAAGATCATTTATACCAATACAGACAAGATCATTTTATTGGGCAATGGAGATACTTTAAGCATTCAATTAGTTAGGAAAAATAAGAAAAGAACAAGCACGTACTTGAGTGGGGCATTTCAACCTGATTCTGTTGTCTGACTTTATTCAACATCATCTCCATAATGCAATCACACTACTAACAAATTGGGCATTTCAACCTTATTCTGCAAGCAAAAATGAAGGCTAGCTCCTGCAAAAACTGAGCCAGCGTCCTTCATCACGCACTGAATGACATATCTATTTACATGGGTCTTCTCTAGATCGTCGTTTGGGAAAGGCGGCACGAGCGAATCACGAGAGCCGAGATCTGTTCCTCTCGTTGGAGTTGAGCAAGATCTTGAGGAGCGACCGCGCCTTCTTGCTAGCGTGGGAAGTCCCGTCGGTGAGGAGCGAATAGAGCGACGCCGTGACCGAAGAGTCCCTTGCCAGCACTTCGATCACGTCCCTCCCTCCGTTGCTGCATATGGACAGCAAGATTGAGACGCTGTATTCCTTCCCGGTTTTAGAAGCGGAGGACCGCAAGAACCTGATGATCAGAGGCAAAACTGGAGTCTGTAGGATCGCTGCGGTCCCATCGGCGTTCTCGGCTAGAGACGCGAGAACTGCCAATGAATCGACTATAAGTTCATCTTTTTCTGAGGAAGCGAGAATGTTCGCCAGCAATGGAATAGTTCCCGCTGCTATGACTCTACACTGGTTCCCGGGATGAAGAAGCAGCCCGAAAATCGTGACCACCGCATTCTGTTTCCCACAAGGCTTTCCATTTCTGAGGAGGTCCACGAGAGCTGGGATCGCGTCGGGCGTTTCCCCTATCAATTTCCGGTACCCCTTCACGGAAGAAAGATAAAACATTGTTGCGGCGGCAATTTGCCTGGCTTCGAGGCTCGACCCTTTCCTTAGAACCGAAAGGATCGGGCTCAGTCCGCCGCCATCGATTATTACCCTTTTGCCGCTGGTATGCTTTGAGAGCTTCAATAGAGCCGCGATTGCATTCTCCTGAGTAGCTGCATCAGGCGAAGACAAGAGGTTTAACAGCGGAAACACTGTGCCGGCTTCGATCAGGCATGTCCTATTGAAGATATTCGACTTTGCAAGCAGACGGATTTCGTAAGCAGCCTTGCTCTTCTGCTCAGTCGTCCCGAAAACCAGCCTCCTCGCAAGAAACCTCGAGAGTTTTTTCATCGCCTCCGCAGCCACCATGCTTCCCGGAACAATAGTCCTCGCGATGTCGCTACTTATCCTTCCTGAATTGGCGAGCGAGATCCCATTATCGGCACAAAACTGTTTTATAAGCTTCCTCAGAGCCGAATTCGGCACCAGCTCGGTGCTCGTGAGCCTCTCTCCTGTTTTCGGGCAGGTAATGTTCCCGGCCTTAAGCCATCTTTGGATTGATGACCGATCGTAGGTCTGTCCCGTGGAGACGGTCACGGGGTCGGTCATCAGCTCGAGCGAGATCGGGCATCGAAAGTCCTCCGGGTTCAAGCTACTGAGAGTCTCCAAGTGCTGTGCCACATCTGCTTGCTGGGTGCTTCTGTGATCCAGAACTTCAAACAGAACCACTCTGCAATAGCTCATGAATGCCATCAAACTGCTCAGCAATGGAGCTTCTCTCTCATTACCCTCCGAGCACTCCAGATTGATCTCGCCCTCCAGGAACTTGATTTCCTTGTGGCAGTCGCTCCAGCTCCTTATCTCAAGATACTCGAGAACCCGCCCGATCACGCCTCTATCCGGCTCGATCCCTTTCTCGAAGTAATCGAGCATCGACTGGACTTGCCTCATTGTGTACTCGTCCCGGCGATCGAGCTCGAAGTTTGCCCGCATCGCCTGCTTGGCCACCAGCTCGACCAACTCCTTCACCTCGCGGCCCGCGTCGATCGAGTCCAGGGGCAAAACATCCAGCGCCGTGCCGATCGCTCGCACCAGCACCCGGAACTTCGCCGCGACGAACCGCGACCTCATCAGGATCCACACCCGGGCGCCCTCGCACGAGCAGTCCTCGAGCAGGAACCTGATCTTCTGGAACGCGGTGTGGAGCTCGGAGAAGCATAGGAGGACGGCGGACACGGACCCGGCGGCGAGGGCCGGCCCGCGTTCCCGGACGTCCTCGAAGAACTCGAGCAGGACCCGGACCTGCCGGACGGCCTCCCGCGCGTTCCGCCGCTGGGTCGCGAAGAGCCCCGGCTGGAAGCCGCAGATGGCGCGGGAGAGGGCGATCAGGGAGTCGACCAGGATCGCCGGCTCGACGCTCTCGCCGGGGCGGACCGCCGGGAACGACAGGATCCGGCGGTCGGCGCGGTCGAACTTTTGAATCATCGGAACGACAAAGGAATTACGAGCTCCTCGTTAGATTTTTCTGAGCTCAAAGTTCTGAACTTTGAGAGATAACAGAAAAGAGTGTGTTTCGGTTATAAGAACGAGGAAAGAGGAGGGAAGAGAGAGAGAGAGAGAGAGAGACAGATCTTGGTGGACACGTGGCGCGGAGATGCGGATCTGGCCCTTGCTGAGTCCCAGAACCACGTGGTGGGATTTGGCACGAAAGGTCCCGGGACACGCGCGGCGTTGACACGTGGAGGCGCGTGGTTGGGCGGGGCGCTGCTTCTTGGATCCTGGCGAATTAGTGTTTTTTTTTCTTCTTTTTGTTTTCGGGAGATGATTTCGGCGGGCCCCACGGAGACCGACCGCCGCACACGTGGACGAATGGGGGGGTGACATGTTCCCCAAGACAAGGGGGATGCCAGTGCATTGAAGGCGAAGCAAGATGCAGCTGTCGATTTTTCCTCTTTCTTTTCTTTTCTTTTCTTCTTCTTTTTCCATTTTTTTAAGGAAATCAGGTGAATTTTTGGGGATTATTAAGGAACACATAACGTGTGGTTACGAATTACTTTAACAATAATAATAATATGTGTGATTTAATTTCGATAAACTTCATTTTCTACAGGCTGGTCATGTCAATGATGGTACAGATTCACACACTCCCGCGGGATGTACAAATATTTTATGACTTAGGAATAGTGGCATGTTGAGTGGGTGCGGCCGACATGAATAAAGATTAAAAAAAGAGTGAGAATGAATGATTTTTTTTCTTCTCAAAAATATAGATTAAGATACGTATATTTAGACAATTGAAATTTCACAAGTGCTTGCGACGGCCCTAGGTTAAAGGACACGCTCTAAAATCTGATAATTAGTCTGGTGAAATTTCGCAAATACTCATGTTAAACCAAACGCACCCTTCAAGAATGCTAAAACCTCGAGTGAACGAGAGTGATATAAGGATGGGATAAAGATGGGAAACCATAGACGTGATTTAATTATCGGATTTGGATTATGAACGGAGCAAGTTCGGCTTAAGACGTGTCTGGACAGGAGGAGGACACCTAATCGCGACGAATTCCGGCATTTGGTGTATTGTCTAATCGATATTCGTTTGTGACAGAACAAAACATAACGAATAAGCTCGCTTGAGCTTGATGTTAGAGATAGTGAAGTTTTAGCAACTTTTAAGGCTCGTACGTTCCACCGAAAACTTCACAATAACAAAAGATATTTTCTACGAAAATTATTTTCACGAAAAATGGTTAACTTTCATCGCTTTCATTTCTTATCAGGAGAGAAAGTTATTTTTCCCGAATTTAAATTTATCGCCTTCAATTCATGGAGAACGTTGTTATTACGTAAATGTGAACCCGGGTTTTCTTCCATTGTCCTGGATTGAGGGACAGCAGAAGGGGCTAATTTAAAAACGGAGACAAGTCATCTGGGTCGTCTCCTAATCATCCACAGTACAAATCTTGATTACCGCACCACAAAAATAATTAATTAATTGAACTGATAAACCCAACCTGCAGCCTCGCAAACTTTGATTCAAGAACAGCTGCAGATTTCCACACTCGACAGTGACCGATGTGAAAAAGAGGGTCGGCCTTGACGTGTGCCAATCACGGACTGATCAGTGTCCACGCGGTGTTTCCCTCTCAATGTCGCCAACGAAAACGAAAGCTTGTGGCTTCAGCTCAAGCTCAGAGCAAGGATTTTGATGCGAGTCAATCTTTGCATGCTAATGAATTGGCGAAAAGGACAGGTTTTGTCATTGACCGGCCTAATGAAATAAGGCCGGTCAACAGATGAATACCATCATTCGTCACTTGGCCGATTCAAGCAGGGGCTCGGCATCTGAATTTGTCGGCAAATTAATGGCAGGACACAGGTTGGGCTGAGCTTCTCACCGGATCTGTTTTGGGCAGGCCCCCGGTTAAGATTGAGGTGTTTCCTAGCCGAAGCTACTAACAGGAACCTTTATAGCCTGTCCGTTTGCGTTATAGTGACAAAAGGCTTCACAGATGCAGTTCTTATTTTAACGTGCCAATACCCGTTTATCCTGTTCCCAGCACACCCTGCCCCCCAAGTTGGGAGATAATTTTTCTTCCCTCGTCTCGGGGAATACTTCGTGTTTAACATCCCAGAGTTCAGATGAAGCCTCTTAGGACCAGATTTAAGCAGGGCTTGACATCTGATTTTGTTGGCAAATTAATGGCAGGAGGCAGCTTGGGCTGTGAGCTTTTTCACTGGATCTGTTTTGGCCATTGAAGGGGGCCCTGAGATTGGCTTTGAGCATTGTGTCGATGTTTTCGCACCGAGACCGGACTGGCCGGGTTTGATCGGTATGGGACGAATTGCATTTTTTCGGCCTGACCGATTGAACCGCAACACCATCTTGGTCCAAAAGAAGGTCGATGCCCGAGCAGTTCGATGCCCGGACCAACCCAAGAATGATGGAAAGAGATGAACAGATTGGACAGAAAAGTAGCTACACATGGGTCAAATGGTCTTTAGAAAATATGCTTTCATCACTAAGAGAGAGAGAGGAGAGGGCATTACCTCAAAGACAGTTACTACAATGCACGCATAATTTACAGTCTCACTTGGTGTTGCTATCTTTGGTTTCAACAGTTCATTGGCTGAGTTTTACAGCCAAGCCGGATTCTTCAAAGGCATAACTACGGCCTTGACTTGCAGATAGTTGTTGAGGCTGTAGATCCCCTTCTCCCTACCTATCCCGCTCATCTTGTAACCGCCAAACGGAATTGCTGCGTCGAAGACGTCAAAGCAATTGATCCACACGGTCCCGACCTTCAACGCCCGTGATAGCGCGTTGGCTATGTCCATGTTCTTAGTAAAGACGCCCGCAGCTAGACCATAGCGCGTAGTGTTGGCCCTTCGGACGACTTCGTCGAGGTCCCTGCTCGAGAGAATATAACTAGTTACCCAGTGCTAAACAGAAATTGAACTAAGAAAATGATGGACAAATACAGGCTAGGTGTTTTAAAAATGAAATACTAGTTCACAGATTTAGAAAAAAGAAAATCCTCATTGAAGTTTATAATAATTTCTAACAATTTTTAGTATTCGTTCAACATAAAGGAGCAAGCCTTGCAATATCTAAATAGAAAGCTCTTCACTCACTTGAATTTCAATATCGATTGCACAGGGCCGAAGATCTCATCCTTTGCTATCAGCATATCATCCTGAATGAATAAAGTTTCGTATAGGGGTTACCAATTAGATAACACTCTACCGATGCACAAGGCAACCAGCAACTAAATGACCAAGCAATACCTGGACATTCGAGAAAACTGTTGGCTGAACAAAGAAACCTTTGGAGCCTAATCTCTCGCCTCCACATTCAAGAGTCGCATTGCCATCTATGCCAGCTCTTATGTATCTAAGAACCTTCTCGAATTGCTCCACATCAATCTAGGAGATATGGCATCACAAGTTCATAACAGCATCAGTCGAAAGCTCTAAGTAAAAACTCTGACGTAATTATGACAGATTATATCGAAAGAGAAAAGCTGCAGCGAGCTCTCAGGTCATTTACTGATTCAGAGGCTTGAAAACATTCGTACCTGAGGACCTTGTTCGACACCCTTCTTGAAAGGATCACCGACACTACGTTGCAGCGCCCGAGCTTTTGCCTTCTCAACAAACTCATCATACACTCTTTCATGTACATATGTACGAGACCCAGCGCAGCAGCATTGCCCCTGTTTATATATCCCTTCATTCATTCATCTATGGCAACTTCATTTTCATCCCATAAAACTGTCACGATACTAAGATCAGACGGACCTGATTAAAGAAAAGAGCAAAGTGTGCAAGTTCCACGGCATGATCAACATCAGCATCCTCACAGACTATGAAAGGCGACTTGCCTCCTAGTTCCAATGTCACAGGCTTCAGATTGCTCCTTGCAGCCAATTCCAGGACAACCTTGCCAGTTTGGGTAGATCCAGTGAAGGCGAGCTGCACGGCAGAGCACAAGTTTTTTGGCCTTAAAAGGCGCATATGCCAAAGTTCGGAATATTCATTTTAATTTGCCAAAATTATGAAATGATGCTAGATGATGTCCTTTCATGAAGCCTAGATGAGCTGACATTCTTGGATGAGAATCTTTTCAAGCCACGTAACTGCTATATATTCAAACCAGTCTATCTAATGCCAATCGACCATGGATTTAACATTTCAACTTTATGAAGCAAGTAGACATAGGATCTCAGCAAGAACTCATGACATTAGTATTTCCATTAGGAGACACAGGTGCTTTGCCTAAAAGCCATCAGGAAAGAATAGGCCGTCTCTCTCATCTACAATCCTTTGATCACATCCTTGTAAAGTACGATGCTTACATTCGTGGACTAGGCAGTCGGTGAATATTCATGGGGATTAGTAGAGAAGAAGGTTCGGATGCCCATGATATCCATTAAAAAGTAGGATGCTTCCCTTTAAATCAGAATACTATGAAAAGGATTATTTTTATGCCATCATTTGAAAGAGGAGGTTTTTTTTTTTCTTTTACTGTGTTGCACAAGAATCCTGAAACATATTGTAGAAAAGAGCGACTTGCATGTTAGAGATTATTGAGAGCTTGAGCATCACATGCACATTGTGGCGTATCCATTCCTCATATTTTTTTTTAAATTATAACACCTTAACTCATTATACGAAGTACTCGTAAAATTGGCTTGTTAGTTGAATTATCTCCATTCAGATTACCAAGCAATCCCAGATAGTATTTTCAGCTGATTGGTCTAATATACCTTGTCCACATCCATATGGCTTGCAAGAGCTGCACCGGCTGTAGGACCATAGCCAGAAACAACATTTAGAACACCAGGAGGAAGGCCAGCCTGTCACCAACACAATCACTTCAGCAAAGTAGGAATGAACCTTGGCAAAACAGAGAGCTCTTGCATGAGTGAGAGTTTCTTATATAATTTGAAAGGTAATTAAACAGCCTGTTTGTCTAGCTTTCTGCACGAGTTACATCCTTGTTTTTCAAAGTTAAGATATGCTGATTATCTTTCCACCTAGACCATAAGTGCTAGGCATTTTCTTTTGCCAATCAGACCATGAAGCACTAGGTACCCATCTCGACCTGAATCCACACTCACTGCTTTAAAATTTGGACTACAAAGACACACTGAACCAATAAACCAAATCGGCTAAGAAATACTCATTTGCGGAGGATTCCTCTAGCAGCTAAACTCAGACTGAGTCTCAACATATATCAAAAGTATCCCAAGATACCAGCTGTCAATTAAATTTTCTGTTTAGTCTGATAAAGAGTGGCAATGGCCATGCAGACCTCAGAGACTTAAGAGTTGTAAACAAAAATAGTTCCAAACAAAATTTATATGAAAGAATATCAAAATAGGCTCAGTCCGAGTATAGACAAATTATTCCTCTGTACTTGAGAGAGAGAGAGAGAGAGAGAGAGAGAGAGAGAGACCTCCTCGAAGAGTTTTGCAGCATACAGTGCCGTCAAAGGTGTTTGTTCTGCAGTCTTTAGGACAATTGTGTTACCACATGCCAATGCGGGTCCAACTTTCCAAGCAAACATGATAAGAGGAAAGTTCCACGGAATGATCTGCCCCGCAACACCAATCGGTTCATGCAATGTTTGCACATGGTAATTTCCATCGGCCGGGACTGTAAGCCCATGGATTTTATCGGCCCAACCTACAATATGAGAAGAAGAATCAGAAACATTGACAAGACAGGCTAGTCAAATGATAATGACATAGAAAGAATGCATCATTCCTTACCAGCATAATACCGAAAGAGACGTGCCAGCATCGGCAATTCAGATTTGGCAGACTGCTCATAAGGCTTTCCACAATTCCATGTCTCCAGAGCTGCAAGCTCGTCATTATGCTTTTCAACCAAATCGGCGAAGCGCAGCAGTATCTTTGATCTTTCCTGGAGAGCAAGCGCAGGTACATCATCAAATGGATGAACTCAAGATGTAACAACAGGCGGATGTATGTAACAGAAGGAAATCGTGGCTATAATTTTTTCAGTCGCACATAAGCAGTCATCTTTGGCCACGGTCCTTCATCGAATGCCTTGCGAGCGGCCACCACAGCGCGGTTAATATCTTCGGCATCACCCTCGGCAACAAGAGCAAGGACATCCCCAGTACGAGGATCATACGTTGGGAAAGTTCTTCCTGAGATAGAATCAACTTTCAGATCCATGTCAAAACAGCTACATGCAAGAATCCTATCTACTAACAACAAACCAAGCAATTACAAGCCATCGCCATTACTTTCCAATTAGCGTTACTTACCTGACGCCGCATCCACGAAGCGCCCATTAATCAGATGCTGTGTGTAATTTATTTGGACGGGCGGAGAAATCAGCTCTTCGACTGCGGCTGCAGTACTGTACCTGCTGATGCTACTTCCCACGCCATGGTTGCTTCCTAAACATACAAAAGTACCAACAAGCAAGCAGAACTTATCATATAAGGAATCCGGAGAAAAATAATGAATATAGCAAAAATATTAAGGAGAGAGAACTGAAGCTAATTGCATTTACATAATAATTTGATAAAGAGCAAATAAGAGACGAGTACTGCTGACAAGAAATGAATGGTCGGCTGGACACGAACTTCGTAAGTCAGAGCATAATTACCATATTTAAGATTGCTCCAAAAATTAGAGTCTTTAGAGAACAACACAAGTCTCGGTTAATATCAATCCTTAACAGAACCCATCTCTACGAACTGAAATCCTACAAATCTCCAGGCCAATTTGGGTCTGTGGGATCACTTATTACAATTCTTTCTTCCGTTTCATTTAGCTCCCAAATCAAGAAATAACATCAAGAATTACGAAGCCAAGAGTGGAATCAGACCAGACGCTCGTCATCTACCCCTGCGCCATGCAGGGTGAGAAAGGAAAGAACCGGACAGTCATCGGTTTCAGAAGTAAATTCCCACCGAACCATTTCTTCCTTTGGAGGGTTTACTAAAGTCAGCGATGAAAAGGTGGTCACCTGAAGAGAGAAGCCGCGAAGCAGAGAGCGAACGAGTGAGCAAGGACGATAATCTGCGAGCAGCCATGGCTCCTTCCCCAAACAGAGTAAAGTACAGAGGCCCCCTTTTACGGATACAGAAAAGAAAGAAGGAAAGCTTTTCCTTATTACAGAAACCAAGAGCATCCACCACACGCTCTCCTTATCTCATCTCAAGACCACCTTGTCGCCCCGAGACTGGGATTGCATTCGTCATCACAACTCACCATGAAAGTCCAAAAGAAAGAAAAACGGGAAAAAGAAATGACAAAGAAAAAGACGAGTCAGAGACAAGAAACTCGGGACGGACATTGAAGAGATTTTGACGAGAGCTGTCTCTCTCTCTCCCCACACATGGCGTTTAGTGGATCGTGGCTTCGAAAGGTGGCGACAGAAGGAGAGAGACGGAGACAGAGACTATCGCTTTTTTCGCAAGAGAACTCTTATCCTTATCTTTGGGATAGACTTTAGCACACTAATATATGTCAACTGCCAACAGAATAACAAGAATCTCGAGCGATATCATCCCAAAATTCAGATCTACCCAACACATTATTTCCCCTGGAGATTACGTAAGACGGGAACAGAACGACAGGTGAAGATCGGTGGTCACGGAGGTGTGGGAGTAATGAGCAAAGATGGCTGCTCATGCTGCTGGTGGTCTGGTCTCCTTCCTATACAAAAGGCTATAATTTGAGGGAAAATTCTAAAGAGGCGCTTTTTTTTATCATACAGGTAAGTGCTCGAAGTTCTCTCATTTTTTTTTAAATAAGAGTCTAAAATGGACTTTATTTTAAATCAGGGTTCGAAATATTCTCATTTTTTTTTTCAAATAAAAATAGAAAGTGGATATTGTTTTAAATAAAGACCTAAAATGGTCAAGTCAGTATCAAAGAAGGGTTTCGCTTCATTAGCTAGTTAAGGGCATTTTCATCCTTAATTTTTTTCCTTTTTTTTTCTTTTTTCCTTTCTCTATTTTTTTCTTTAGCCGAAGTGGAACCAATTTTACGACAATTGCTGAGTTCCTGTGCAGAAACTCACTCAAAGTTTACGAAGAAATGCTCCAATTCATTCTGGCAGAATTCCGAGTTCTTTGTCAAATTGCCTTTCAAGAAAAATAAAGATATCAATCCAACAAAAACGACCCATTTAGAAATGAATCCTGATGGTGCATCTCTAGCCCATCAAGAATGCCATCAGTTGATTCAGCAAGGACTGATGGAGCCATCTCACTCTTAGGCTGCGCATGACAACAATTCTGTGTCCGGGAACAGATTCTGCTCAGAAATGATTCTTTTTTATTCTGTGCCCGAAATTGATTCTGAGTATTTTAAGGCGTTTATTAACGGCCCAAAATTCCATCCATAGAATAGAAAAAGAACAGAAATGCGTTTGGTAACGCCACAAAATTTCTTTTTATTAATAATGTTTTTAAATATTTTAATATTTCTTTCTTTTTTTTCTTTTCTTTTTTTCTTTTCCTCCTTCTTGGCCATGGCCTGCTCGCCGGCCATGACCGGTAAAATATTTTTTTATTAATAATATTTTTATTAAAAGTATTTTTTCTTTTTTTTGGCTATGGCCTGATCACCGGCCATGACCGATAAAATATTTTTTTTATTAATAATATTTTTTATTAAAAATATATATATTTTTATTTTTTTTGGCCATGGCCGGTAAAATATTTTTTTTATTAATAATATTTTTTATTAAAAATATATATTTATTTTTTTTTGCCATGGCTTGGTCGCCGGCCATGTCTGGTAAAATATTTTTTTTATTAAAATATTTTTATTAAAAATATATTTTTTTCTTTTTTTTTGCCATGGCCTGATCACCGGCCATGGCCTGTAAAATATTTTTTTCATTAATAATATTTTTTATTAAAATATTTTTATTAAAAATATACATTTTTATTTTTTTTTTTGCCATGGCCTGGTCGCTGGTCATGGCCGGTAAAATATTTTTTTTATTAATAATATTTTTTATTAAAATATTTTTATTAAAAATATATATTTTTTATTTTTTTGCCATGGCCTGGTAACAGGCCATGGCAGGTAAAATATTTTTTTTATTAATAATATTTTTTTCTTTTTTTTTGGCCATGGCCTAGTCGCCGGCCATAGCCTGTAAAATATTTTTTTATTTTAATAATATTTTTTATTAATAATATTTTTTATTAAAATATTTTATTCTCGTCAGATCCGGCGAGGGCGGTCCTCGGGCCGGACATTAGTAGCTACATTAAAAATCAAGAAAAGGAAGAAGAAAAAAAAATTGATTCTCAAAATTGTTCCCAGAATCAAGAAGCTACTTTTTTTTATTTTTAAAAACTGATTCTGGGAACAATTTTTGACAAAATTGTGCCCAGAATCAAAAAATTAAACAAACACATTTCTGTTCCCAAACTGATTCTAGGAATAAAAGAACAGAATCAAACACTGTTTGGCAAGTTGTCATGCGCAGCCTTAATAGGCATGTGAAGCATTCTACATTAATAAACGAGCTGAGCAAAATAGAGATAAAAAGAAATTGGTAATAAATTACCAGCCTCTTAATCATTTTCTGCAAGATGACAAGTTTCCTCTACCATATAGAAAAGCCTTATTTTGGCAATACCCGAAGAGGGCCAAGCGAGGACCGACTTCGTTTGGGCGACTCTCGCCAACCACAAGCAAGGCCGTCCCTCACCATATTTGGGTGAGGATAGCCTCGCTTGTGGCCAGCGAGGACCTGGACGAGGCCACCCTCGCCAGCAGCTAGTGAGGGCTTGCAGGCCCTCGCGCAGAACTCAATTTTGTGTAAAAATCGAGTCTTTTTGCTAACGCCGTCCAATTTGAATAATGGAAAATACTGACGCAGTTTTTTTTTTTCATATTTTATCTCTCCCAGGTGGCGTCCTATGTGACATTAAGGTTAACTAATGTATTAAAACAACATCGTTTTGATCCGAATCCTAATTTTTACATAAAGTCCTAATTAAATTAGGTTAAAAGATCCAAAAAATTTTCTATAAAAAAGACAAACTTGAAAAAGACAAAAGACTAAAACTTTAAAAAAAAATACAAAAGAAAATACAGGCAGCCCTCCTGCTTGTGACCTCCACCCCATCACCGATGGGGCATGGACCATGGCCGGTGGGGTCACCGGTGCCTTAGCGAGGGCCGCAACCCTCTCCTAAATCTGGCGAGGGCCACCAACCCTCGCCCCAGTCCGAGCGAGGGCCATCTAGGAGAGAGTCACGGCCCTCTCCTGGTTCTAGTGAGGGCCTCCTCACCCTCGCCTCTGATCGGCGAGGGTTGCCGGCCCTCACCGAGGCAGCAGCCACAGGCAATACTCGCCTATTTTTTTTTAAATAGTTTTCTTAATTTTTAATCTAATTTAATTAAAGTTTAGGTTAAAATTGCCTTTAAAAGAAAATGCCTTTGACCGGCTGGAATATTTAGCTGGCCAGCAAGGTTAAGCTCTTATTTGAAACTGTCATGGCCACTTTAGGCCCTTTTTTTAAACAAGATCCACTTCAGTCATTTATTTGAGAAAATGAGGTCGCTTCAAGTCTTTATTTGGAATTTTCCTGTAATTTTATAGAAAGTAATCGCCAAAGTGAACTTATGAAGGAATACAACACAAGCAAATCCATTTATAACTTGTCACGGCATGGGCACCATATAAAAAAAAATTTGTACGTAGCTCGTTTGTGCCCTAATGTTAATCTGAGGTAAGAATTTTAACCCGTTTGTCTCGCGAAAAATGAATGATTTAGAAAATATTTTTTTAAAGGGTTAATACCAGGAAGAATTCCAAACTGGTACATCTGTGACAATTTTGCTCTGAACTATTTTTTTTATCACAAAAAACTCCAAACTAGTACACTATGATAAATTTACCCCGAACTAATTTTTTGACCACCAAAAATCCCAAACTGGTACATTTGTGACAATTTTACTCCGAACTATTTTTTTTGCCACAAAAAACCCCACACTGGTATACCTGTGACAACTTTACCCCCGAACTAATTTTTTTACCACTAAAAACCCCAAACTGGTACATTTGTGACAAATTTACCCTCTGTTAGTGTCCATTAAATTGGATTAATATCACGAAAAACTACAAATTGGTAAACTTGTGACAAACAGAGAGGTAAAACCCAAAACCGGTACACATGTCAATTATCACGTGTCATTAAACTTGGCAATTTGACAGTAAAATTTAACGGAAACTAACGGAGAGTAAATTTGTCACAGGTGTACCAGTTTGAGATTTTTAGTGGTCAAAAAATTAGTTCGGGGGTAAAATTATCACAGATGTACCGGTATAGGGTTTTTTGTGGTCAAAAAAATAGTTCAGGATAAAATTATCATAGGTGTACCAGTTTAGGGTTTTTTATGGTCAAAAAAATAGTTTTGGGTAAATTTGTCATAAGTCTACCAGTTTGGGGTTTTTCGTGGTATTAACCCTTTTTTAAAAATGATAACTTGATCGCTTACGAGAATAAATGAATAAAAAATATTTTCAATATCAATGAAAATATTATCGATAAATGAAAATAATTTATGTTGATTAATTATTTCAAGCGATCATATTTATTTTCCTTAAAATAAACAGAGCCTTTAATTTACCCCTTTTCTCGACTTCTCTATTTCTCCGTAACGATGGAGGAACGGCCATTTACTTGATTGGATCGAGGAGATTGAAGTCAGACAACGCAATAAGTGTAGTTTAAAGACGATTGCTCGCGATGTGATGCGAGCCGCGAATCGAACGAGCCGAGGTTCGTCGAGGAAAATGTCAAATACGGAGAAACTAAAATCTTGTTTGTCCCTGAAAAAAAGAAAAGAAGAAGAAAGTAGACTTAGCATATGGAATCGGGCGAGGAAGATGCTCGAACGAGTATCAAACTACCTTTTGCTTTCAAGTTTTTTGTGGTTAGAAATCTTGATAAGCCCTTTTGAGGAGAGGCAGAACCACTATTAGCTATCGCCATCTTTAGGGGATTGAAATGGGGAGGGTCCATTGGAGAATGCGAAATTGTGGAAAGAGACCTTCTCGAATTATTATTGTTAGAATAATTAAATATTAAATCATACCTTCATCTAACAGCTTAAACTTTTAAAATCGTTAATAGTGATCCCACCAAAATCTAACATGATATTAGAACATGAGGTCCTGAATTCAAATCTTTCCAGGCTCCATTTACCTCCCCAATTAAATATATCAACGCTTAGTACTAGGCAAAAAGACCAGACTAAGCGTGAGGAAAAATGTTAGAATAATTAAATATTAAATCACGCCTTCATGTAACAGCTTAAGTTTTTAGAATAGTTGACAGTGATCCCGCCAAAATCTAATAGTTATTAATTGTTGTTTAGATTGTATAGTTTGCTCATTAAGCGGGAGGCATTGCATTGTGGACTTAGTATGTATTAAGTCCGATATCGGTATCAACATAAATATATTACTGTTTAACGGATAACACGTCTGCATAAGTTAATCGCATGACTAAGTACTCGCCCACTTAGACCTAATAGAAATCGACCTCATGGAAATCATGAAAAAACCATCATTTGCACAACGAAGAAGCATATGATCGTTGAGTCTTTGTATAATATGACCATAGAAATATTCACAGTTAGTAATATCAAAGCATGTTTAGTGACCCTTTTTAAAATCTGAAGAACTTTAAATGCTAGTTGTTAAGATTAACATTTACACGATTTGAGTAAACCCTTTTAAGGTCAAAGAAAGGAAAGACCAGTAACTTGAGCAAACTGGTTTTACCCGATCTATGGTAACGCGAATTGGCTGCTTGTGGAGGTGAGGACCCAGCGAGGTGGTGTGATTTCGGCTGTCGTGTGATGATGGTAGGCAAGATACAAAGTTAACTCTCTCCGAGGTCTGCGGAGAAATCGGGCTCGTTGGGTTTGAACAATTTGGGCATCTTCAGTTCTTGAGGATCCAGTATAGTGACCTTTTGGTTGGCCCCTCTTTTCGTGTTGGCGGCGAATTTGGAAGCCAGTATTGTAGCTCCAAGGTGTTGAGTGCCGGTCGCATCGTCGGTTAACTGACTCATCTCCTCGTCGCCATCAAAGTCCTCGTGTCCATACTCGCTCTCCTCGTCCGCTCCATTCATGTAATAGACCTCCTCGTGTCTGGCCAACTCCATCGCTAGCTTTCTCTTCTTGAATCTTCTCCAAGCGACTTGGATATAGCACGCCCCCCAAGTCCGCCACTGGTGGGAGTAATACCTGAAAGCGTTTTACATCACAATCAATCTCAGTTTACAATCTTTCGAAACACGCAAGAACGTGGAAAAGTTCGTACATCTTCGAAGCTGAGAGAATGATTTCTCCAGTCGAATTTCTCGCAGAATAAATATGGATACCTGAAAGCGTGTTGGAGTTTCTTGCTGTGGAGGCGCTTAAATTGGGTAGAGACAAACTTCAGGTCCTCGGCTCTCAGCGCAAATGCCTCCACTTCTGAGAGGGTTTTAACCGTTCTAGTTGAGGATGGTAGGTTAAGGCTCGGCGTAGGCACCAACGCCCAAGTGAGCAGTTCCTCACCACAAAAGTCACCAGCTCCAAGGGTGATGGAATTGAAGAATCCTACTCTTCCACCGTCTGTGGTGCTGCTCTCTACTTCGCCCCTTATGATGAAAAGCATCTCATTCACCGGATCGCCCTCTCGGACGATGAATGTGTCTTTAGTATGCAAGGATGAGACCAGGCGTTCACAAATAGCATCTAAGAGCTGATGATCCATTTGTGCAAAGAAAGGGACCTAGATAAGAAAAGGAAAGAAATTCAGATTTGCTCGAGTTTGTATGTCTTCAGAAGGATGAGAATAGATAAATATTTCCAAACACCTAATAGTTTCCAATAAATAATATCTAGCATGCGTAGACGAGATCCTAATCTCTCGCTTTTGTTGGAAGTAGAGAACCAGATCACCTGTTCTCTAACATATTTGTTAAACTATGACAAAAAACTGACTTTAGAATATTTTTCTTCAAATAACTTGCGCTTTCACGTGTTAAATGCAATGACTGAGATATCTTACGCGGCGAACAAGGGCTAGACAAAGATGCCTTTGAATTTGGCGTCGAAGATCAAGAGGTAAGGATTGTAAAATGGTTTCCTCGTTGACACCTCTAGTGGCAAGCCATTTGTACTGAACAAATTGGCGGACACGTTCTTGCAGATCTGGAGGTAGTTGACGATGCCGCATCCACTCCTCTGTATCTCTCCGTTTAATTCTCCATTCTTCAAGTCTTGCCGTTGAAGATTGTAAATATGTCTGTAGAAAACAAAAGTTTTTCAAGAGAGAGAGAACTGTTAGCAGCGGCCAAATCTCAATACTGACTCATAAATGTCAATGAGACTCTTGGAAAAATGACCGCAACTGTTCAGTTACTGGTTAAACACCATGCTTCCCTCACTGGGCTACAAAGCTTCCACAACTCTCTAGAGCTTTTCGAAATAATTGGTGTCACAAGTTTTAAACAGCTAGAGATAAAACTCCACAAGAGCACAGCACAACAGTGTGAAAAATAATAAGCATATCTTTACATACAAGATATTCTATCATGTGATATTGGAAAACCTGACTCAACATTAGTCGTTAATAAGCAAGACAATGAGCTGGGCAAACACTCCTAGAAATACTCTCTCCTTTCAATTAGTATCTATATTTATATCTGGGACTTCTCAGCTCTAGAAATACCAAAGAGGAATATGCTTAACCACAGGTTATTTTCATTAGAAAGGAAAGCTAATGACAAAGGCTATAATCTATAGTCTGCACCTGCATGACAGCTCATCTGCTTAAGGAAATGTCGCCATGTACTGTTAACAGCAATCATGCCTTTTAGAACTTAGAAGTCTATGACTCCAAAAAATGCCATACACGAAAAGCAAGAGACTGGAAAGGCAGAAAATCAAAAATCCGTGGTTCTGCTATGTTTGCACCACAATGAAAGTGATCCAACTGATTTAAAAACTAATAATCGGTGCACTGGTCCTCAGTCCTTCATCATGGCACAGTAAAGGTTTGGCGGCTTTGACCATGACATCACAAACGAATACATAACAAATACAAGAAAGGCACAAACCTGCATGTTTCCGATGAAATGCGAGAAGAAAATCAAACCAGCAATGCAGATAAATATGGAGAATATATTTTCACCACTAAGAGTGGTAGTCATCAAACTCTGCCCATATGAACTGCCAGAGAGAAAAACACTATGAGTACAAGAAAGGACCTGGCAAATCACCTATTCTGCATTCGTGAAGACTGGGACTGAAAGTAAAGGCAGAACCGAACTTCATAGGGGAAAAATTAACAAAAAAGACTGCTATACATACATACATACATACAGAGAGAGAGAGAGAGAGAGAGATTTAATGAACAGACAGAATAATAGTTGTGCATTGGGAGAGAATATTCAGATGGATTGGGTCAAATTTTAAGTCAGGAAAACCTTCTTCGGAAATGAACTGTAAAAGTAAATTGCATCCATGTCATTCAAAACCCATATAATATTGTTGGCCCAAAAAAACCTATATAAAATTCCTTTTACTGATGAGCATTACTCAAACTGCATTGACATTACCCAGCACATTGCACCTCAAAAACTTAAACTAAATCATCCCGTGAGCTCAGCAGCAGAGCTATAATCTGTTTATGGATGGTCGATACATTAGCCACATCTAGCCATCAAATTACGTGAATTTTGTAAAGCAAAACTGGCGATTGCATACCTCAAGTTCCGCAAGCCCCACCAAAGACAGTAGAAGTATTTCTCGATAAAATCTGCTGAAGCTACTTCATTTATGAAGGCACTAGCAAATATTCCAAACTGAAGATGGTCGTCGTCTTTGAAAGCATCACATTTGGCCAACACCTGAGTGGAATTCAACCACAACATGCGTTGAGGGTCATTTAAGGTGGTACAATCAAAAAAACGCTGTTTACAGGGGGGAGAGCGGGTGTTGTTCATTTCCTTCTCACATTCCATCCTCCAGCATGAATTTAGCCTCTGAATGGACCATAAATACCATATCGATCCTATAACCTGTACCAGAAGAGTGTGGGATAAGTATGACCATAACTGCAATTACATGACATGATCTAAAAGCAATAACAATCCACGCATCCACTTCCGCAGTGAAATAACAGAAAGTAGTAACAAAATGCTTACATGACTAGCTAGTGTGCAGAGAACGAGATTGTATGCTGCTCCTGTCCAAGCAGTCTTGGCTATCACCCCAGTTGTTTTCACAATCCGTCTATGCAGCGGGAACATGAGGAAAAATCGAGGAAAATATTGAATGAGAACGATAAGAGAGACCGTGTGGTTGGCATGAACAGCTGTAGGATTTTGTATTGCTGGGATAATGAACCAAATAAAGATCTGCCAAAGGGAAAACATCAGCGGCCGTACATAGATATATTACAAAAAAACATATTGTTTGCCTGGCTCGAGAAATGTGTAAGATGGCAGTTAAACAGCATTTCAGCAGAACAGACAAACACGTTAATTTGAAATTACAAAGGAAGATCCGAGTTTATAGAAGTAGAAAGACATGTCATCAAACAAAAGCGATATAACATCCAATCTACCAAACTCAAATGCGTGTCAATTCAGAGGCGAGACAAAGAACATCTGGATGAACCGTCTAGATACGAAAACACCCTTTCAAACTACTGACTAACATCTCTTAAGCTTTTGAAACAATCAAGTTCAACGTGGGTTAAATCATGCAATATATCATAACATAACTTCCATCTCCAAGTAACAGCGTGAACTTCCGGAATATTTAGTTGCATGCTATTTGACACTGACAAAGGCGTATGTTCATCTTCATGCCGTGTAAAGCCCTACTGACAACAGCTCTTCCTTCTCATTGAACCAAGCGAGAACACTCTGCTGAAGAAACTTTATTCGTATTTCTTTCAAGCTTTCTTCTCAAAATCGCATTTTATAGCCATATTCCAAATATCAGCCACTCCGGCGACCTCTTCCCTCATTTTCCTCAAAAGCTTCATCTGAATTGCAGCATTCCATTTCAACAATTCTTCATTTACGAAACCTTCAGAGACATGAACTAACGAAAGTAGAATTTTTTTTTTTTTTAAATTTACTCCATTGACAACTTCTGTCGCACATATCACGCCCTAGGTGAGCACTCTTCTCAACGGCAAACGATTCAAACCGAAACTACTTCCGTTCGAGATCACGCTGACCTGGGGAAGAGGAAGCGTCGCGGCGAGATCGATGACGAAATCCGTCCTCAGGTACCGGATGGCGATCTCCCTCGCGTCCATGACCAGGTCGCCCCTCCCGAAGACCCGGGAGTTCGGGGCGACGAACGCGGTCCTGAACTTCAGGACCATGTGCATCAGGTAGAACAGGTCGGCGACGGTGCGGAGGAAGGTGACGACCACCCCGAAGCGGAAGTCGATCCGGACGCAGCCGGGGCCGCCGACGAGGAGGATGAAGAAGTAGAGCGGGTCGATGAAGAGGGCGATGAGGCAGGAGACGAGGAAGACGTGGTTCCATCGGGCGACGAACTCGCTCCCGGGGTCGAGGGTCTGGTACCACCAGGGGATCTCGCGGCGGAGGGAGAAGGGCCGGGCGAACTGGCGGGGGAAGCGGGACGAGGCGGCGGCGGCGGCGGCGGAGAAGTGGACGCGGCGGCGATGCATGGTCTCCTCCCATGGCGACGGAGGCGGGCGTGGATTTAACGGGCGGGAGGAGGAGGAGGTGACGTTAGAGATAGAGAGAGAATGAGAGAGAGAGATTTGCGCAGAGCCGGAGGTGTTGCAGGAGCGCGCGAAAAATGGATGGAGGAAGAAAAGGAGGAGACTGGATGGAGTCGTGCCGATTGATTTGGGCCCGATGGGCCCTCTTTTGGGCCTTTGTAGGGCCTCATGCGGGGACCCAAAGCCCACTCATTTTATATATTTTTGTATTTTATATTTTCTTGGACCAATCCTAGATTTTTCTCTTTTTAATTTCATTTCGATGATTCCGCGACCTCTTAACCGAGAAAATATTGGCTGAGCGGTGCGACACTCCACTCAGCGATGAGACAAGTGTTGCGCCGAGCCCACCTGTCAGAAATTTTGAAATGCCCTCATCATCTTGCCAACTCAGCGATAAGACACTCCACTCAAAGCGCGACACGTGTCGTGCCGAGCCCACCTTCTTCCCCCTCTCTCCGTTTGCTTCTCCATTACGAAGGAAAGTTGCCGCTTTGCTCTACTCTCTTCACGACTCCGCTCCTCTCTCGATTCTCTTCACGACTGAAAGCTCTCCACTCTGTCCTCTCTCTTCCCTCTCGTTACTGCTAAGGCTCCTCTCTATTCGTCCGACGAACCACGCTGCCACCTCCATCTCTGCCGTAACCTTCTCCGCCTCCGACCAAAAGCGCCTCCTCCGGTCTTGCTCCCCAATTCAGCTGCATTCATATCCCTTTCGTGATCCTGAAAGCTTGCTAGGAATTCTGTGTTGCCGAAACTCTCCTACCTTGACCTTCACTTTTGTTGCAAGACATTTCATAAACTTACATAATTAATTGGCTAAATTAGTTAATCGTCAAATGGACGAGTAAGCGCAAACCACCATGGCAATTTGACCCGCAATCTTAAGACGGATGAATAACAGGTTATATTTTCTTCCATCTTACACCATTGGCAGATGGGTTATGGACATAATTCACATGTAAACTTAACTAAAATGTAAAGTGGGTGATGTCTTTGATTGCAACCTCCAATCAAAGACATGGTTTGAAGTTATATCGAGAGCCTCGATAGTAACTTGCTTTTGCAGTGACACAAGATGTTTGAACTTTTCAACTTGACTGATATTCTCAAGGTCGAGCAATCGAGTTGCATCCTCACCAAGTTATACGGCACCTGTACTCGACAATCATGATCAATTGGGTCTTTGATGTGCATGCAAAACCAAGCATACACAAGAATTCCCAATTTTTTGCTTGATTCACAAAAGCTCTCTCTCTCTCTCTCTCTCTCTCTCTCTCTCTCTCTCTCTCTCTCTCTCTCTCTCTCTCTCTCTCTCTCTCTCTCAAGAATGCCTTGGGATTCAAGGATGAAATCATGTGTATCTCCTAACTTTGGTTGTACCCTTTTCCTCGTACGGTAGTTGTCGGTCCCTCCCTCCCTCCCCCATCCCCTCCAAAGAGGGCTATCTCTGTTCATTAATTTCATCAAATCTTGTTCTAAGAAGAATAAATCGCTTCGATTAGAGCGTAGGGACGAGCAACTTGGCGAGAGCAATTATGCCAAACCAAACCCCGTTGGTCATTGCTTTTCATTTGGTAACGTACTTGCTAATATACAATGATGGGGAAAGCTGGCAGCTTCCTGCGAAAAACACCCCTCAAAGTGACATTGGCTGCGAGTTTTCTATATAAAGAAATCATGCATGTTCCTATATAAAGCGACCTTTTTGATCGACACAAGGCTCTCTCGCTCATTCCCTCCTCTCCTCTGGTTTCGGTGATGGCGAGGTGACCACACTCTCTTTTGCGCTCGCTCGTTTGATCTTTCTGTAGTGCATGTGTCGATTTTCGCGGAGCTTCTGAGAGAGTCCAGGAGAAGATTTCATCATTGCGCCCATTGACAGAAACAAACTGTATCGTTGGAATCATTTCTTCCCAAGAATGCACCAGAAGAGATATGATCCGTCGTCTCTTTCACGAGCCACGAGAAAAGGAAGCACCTGAGATCGATAGAGATATATAGATGCCATGCAAGCGGTAGAGAAGCTGCAACCTCGTGGAAAGAAGGAAGCGGTGTCTGTCGATAGAGCTATCGTCTAGGGACTTTCTTGATCTTTAGCAACATGGCCGAAGGAGAGAAGGATAAGCGCAGCGGCAAAGAAAAGGTTCGCGAAAATGGGGTTTGCACCGATGCACCCGCAAACCCCGTTGTGGAAGATGACGTAGAACATGATGACCACTGCGACGATCTGAAAAATCCCCAGCTTCCGGGATGGTTTGCTGAGTACAGTCCCTTGTGGCCAGGTTTGTTGTTCCCTCCAACGCGAGCTCCTTCTTTTCTTGTGAATGAGATTCTGCTTGGGGGGAATACGTGGTCAGGGTTAATCTTAATTAGCTATTTGGATTACAAAGCGCGTATTTTGCTCCTGTTCTCTGTTAATACAGCAGATGCTAGTCAAAACCAGAAGAAAATATGTAGGACATGGATGTAGATGTATTTAGGGGGTTTCTTGTTCTTGCGCAATGGTGACACGACGATCGACTTCCGATCATCGGGGGGGGGAGAAAAAACTAACTTGTTGACGTATAATGAAGTTACTCAAAATCGACGGCACTCCGACCAAAAAAAACAAAAGTCGACGGCAAGTATAATGAAGTCTTCATTTAAAAATTCAAATGACTCCGACTGTTTCTTGATCATTGAGGCCTATAGAGTGGACGTGCGTGCTTCACGTTGTGCTTTTGCACTATTGCAGGTGCATGTGCGACATGAGATTATCATTCAAAAGCTCCTAATTGTCCAATGGCATTGAATTTGTTCTCTTTTGACTATGATTAACAGTCGAAGGGCCCAGGAGTTTTCTCCAAAGCTTTCATCTATGTTCACAATCCTTTTGCCCGCAGAATCGTACTTGCTGATTGTTGTCTGTCCCTTTTATTAGCCTTGATCTTCATATCCGTGTGCTTTCGGCACGGTAATTAGCCGCTCCTAATTGCCAACAAACACGTCGCCGCGATGCTGTGTGTCGGCACCATCTTTTTTATTTTATTTCAAATACTAGCAAACTACGTCATGTTCACATGTATCGAGTAAAGCTCCACCCTGGATGTAACACCCAAGATTAATATGGGGAAAAGTGTCAAAAAAGTCATAAACCTTTTGTATTGGTGCCAATTTAGTCCTAAACCTTTTTTTTGTGCCAATTCAGTCTTAAACATTTTGCATTGGTGCCAATTGAGTCCTAAACTTTTTTTTTATGTCAATTTTGTCATAAACCCTTCGCATTTGTGCCAATTCAGTCCTAAACCTTTTGCATTTGTGCCAATTCAATCCTTCGACATGTGAATAGCTATTAGCCGGAAGGACTAAATTGGCACCAATATAAAAGATTTAGGACTGAATTGGCACCAATGCAAAAGATTTAGGACTGACTTGACACCAAAAAAAGGTTTATGACTGAATTGTCACCAATGCAAAGGTTTAGGACTGAATTGGCACAAATGCAAAAGATTTAGGATTGAATTGGCACAAAAAAAAAGGTTTATGACTGAATTGGCACCAGTGCAAAAAGTTTATGACTTTTTTGACACTTTTCTCGATTAATATGAATGGCAAAGATATTGTGATTTGAACACAGAATCTGCAACACCTAAACTAATACTTCAATATTTAGATGACCCTTTGAGTGTTACCGGCACGATCTTGTTATTTGACCAAAGTTCATAGTTTAGAAGTTTAGGTTGTACCAGGGCCAATCTAAACTAGAACTTTCGTTTCATGCAAGGTTTTACCATATGAATGATTTCAGCCATATATATACGCATCTTATCTAAATGCAAATACATATATCTTCATCCAATTAATGTGTAATTATTGATTACACCGTGGATAGATAACAACATATATCTGCATGTGATGCAGGACAAGCACACTTCCTGAAGATCGAGAGGGTGTTATTTGAAGGGAAGTCTCAATACCAACACATGATGGTACTTGAGGTACGTAAAGTGAGACCCAGCGCGGGGACTCATTCAAATGGCCACACAGCAATGGCCAATTCATTGCAATCGGAACTGACGATGATGTTGTCCCCGAATGTGCAGTCAACAGCATATGGGAAGGTTTTTGTCCTTGATGGTGCACTTCAGCTAACTGAGAAGGACGAGTGTGCATACCAAGAAATGATTACTCACCTCCCTCTTTGCTCCATCCCTAACCCTCGAAAGGTCTCTTCCTCCACTTCTATTACTCCCAGTAATGACACACGAAAGCCTGGCTCGGTCGGCATTCACCACCATAAGTTCATCAGTACAGAAGTTGACAGTATCAGAGAATGACATGATTTACATATGTGTGTTGATACTTGTGCAGTACTTGCATGACCCTTTAATCGTAATCGTATGCTCGATTGACACAGTTTACTATCTTTGATCATTCAGGTATTGCTCATTGGTGGAGGAGATGGAGGTATTCTAAGGGAGATCTCCCGTCACTCTTCAGTCATACACATAGATATATGTGAAATGGATATGATGCTTATCGATGTGAGTGACGATAGCTTCGTATATCAGTTGCATCTCCAAAGACATACAGATCATATATGTAGTACCACGCCGTTGACATGGCCTGAGCATAGTACATCGAATGAAAATTCATACTCGTGATTTGTATGGGTGGTTCACCATATATCATTGTATATAGGTGTATCGAGAATTCTTCCCGGAGGTCGCAGTCGGATATGATGACCCACGCGTAGGGCTTCATGTAATGGATGGTAAGACGTATCTGTGAAATGTTTGCTTCCATAAGTCCTAGCTGTCACGTGAGTTTTGCTCTCAATTGTACAATCTAAATGTTGCAGGAAGAGAATTCTTGAGGTCGGCAGGGGTGGGTACATACGACGTGATCATAGTAGACGCATTCGACCCAATAAGTCTCTCTCTCCTTCTCTCTCTCTCTCTCTCTCTCTCTCTCTCTCTCTCTCTCTCTCTCTCTCTCTCTCTCTCTCTCAAATATTCGAAGAAATGTTAGATTCTTTCTACTCCTACAAGATAGACAAAACCAATCAAAATTGAAGTGTCTGACATCTTTCTAGACAAAATCTGTGCTGTGTGACTCCAAATAAGATAATTTAGAGATTGAATAAACATGTACAGGGGTCTAACAAAATATATCCATTAGGGCCAGAACATGAGATTTTCGGGAGTCCGTTCTTCGAAATGGTGGTGAAAGCATTGAGGGATGGAGGAGTGATGTGCATTCAAGCAGAAAGCCTGTGGTTTCCCTCTCTCAACCTCCCACAACTCATCCACACTTTCCGGAATATATTCAAAGGATCCGTCAACTATGCCTGGACACCGGTTCCTGCATACCCTAGGTATCTATATACATAGTACATTCATCTTTACTTGCAGACGTCTGTACTGTGCATGAGTTTCACCTAGTCAAATTTGCCAAATTATATGCATTGCTAACGCACGTCGTTGGCTTGTGTCCTGTCCTACAGACTTACATAAATGAAAGAATATCTCGATCATTAGATCGTAATTTGATTTTATTAGTACCATCTTTCCTTCATTTTTTCGAGTGTTTTCAACAGCAAAATTTGTGTTAGGATCAGTTTAATGGAAACAAAGGCAAACATATATGGTTTTATGTCGTAATGTGATTAGACGGAATTGAAATCTCTCGTGTTCAGCGGGGTGATTGGTTTCTTGCTGTGCTCGACGGAGGGACCCCATGTGGACTTCACCCGACCTGTGAATCCATTAGACCATCAAGATGCCACAAACTCCTTTGGTGTAGCTAAACAGCCGCCCAAGTTTTACAACGCAGAGGTATTTATATTGCTTTTGATCTACTTCTCCTCCTTCACGTTCAGACAATCGATTGACCAAACCGACACTTGCTGATAATTATGCATCTTCTCCTCTCTCTCTCTCTCTCTCTCTCTCTCTCTCTCTCTCTCTCTCTCTCTCTCTCTCTTGCTTGATTCATTTCCAGATACACTCAGCTTCGTTCTGTTTGCCATCATTCGCGAGGGATCGTCTTTGACTCCAGATCGCTTCAATGGAACACCGGAAGGCTCTAGTCACACCAGACGAACCAAGATACGATTGTTTGCCATAGTCCAAGCATCAGTCCGACAAAAATGTCCCTTTATCTTCTCAGACATGATCATGTTGTTGTTTCAAGTGGGCTTGTATCATTGGAAAAGCCAAGACTAGAATGTTTTTGCGTGTGTGGGGTTTGTTAGGGGAGCTATTGTCGTTGGATTACTTCCACAGAAAGACATAATCATTCATTCATTTCTCTCGTGCTCGCTATTTTATGTGAGAAATTGCAAGATTTGTACGCACAAAAACGGCCGAAAAATTGTCCAAAAAGTCATAAACCTATTGCACTTTTGCCAATTCAGTCCTAAACCTTTTAAGTTTGTCAATTTAGTCTTAAACCTTTTCACTGCTTGCCAATTGAGTCCATCTAACCAATTTTGACCGGCCGACGCTGACATGGCAATTTTTTTAATTTTTTTTCGAATTTTTTTGAATTTTTTCTCTTTTTTTTCTGCCTTCTTCCCTCTGGCCGGTTCAACAACCGACCAGAGGCGCGGGCCGGTGAGGTTGACCTCGCCGGCCTCTGGCGAAGCTCGCCCTCGCTGGCCACTGGCAAGGGCGAGCCTCGCTCGCCGCTACCTGGGCGAGATCGAGGTCAACCTCATCGTCGCTGGGCGAGGTGGAACCCAGCAAAGGCGAGGTCGGCCTCGCCATGGCTGGTCGAGGCTCAACCTCGCCTAGCCAAGGCGAGGCCGGCCAGCGCCGTCGCAGGTCGACCTCGACCAGCCATGGCGAGGCCGGCCAATGCCGTCGCAGGTCAGCCTCGCCCAGCCATGGTAAGGCCGACCTCGCCGTCACTGGGTTCACCCAGCCATGGTGAGGCCGATCTCGCCATCACTGGGTTCACCCAGCGACGGCGAGATCGGCCTTGCCTTGGCTGGGCGAGATCGGCCTTGCCTTGGCTGGGCGAGTTCGGTCTGGCAACGGTGCGCGACCCTCGCCCTCGCCAGTGGCCGGCAGGGGCGAGCTTCGCCAGAGGCTGGCAAGGTCGACCTCGCCGGCCCGCGCTTGTAGCCGGTCGCTAGTTGCCGGACCAACCAGAGGGACGAAGGCAGAAAAAAATATTAAAAAATTCAAAAAAAAATATTTAGAAATTGCCACGTCAGCGCCGACCGGCCAAAATTGGCTGGATGGATTCAATTGGCAAGAAGTGAAAAGGTTTAGGACTGAATTGGCAAACTTAAAAGGTTTAGGACTGAATTGGCAAAAGTGCAATAGGTTTATGACTTTTTGGACAATTTTCCCCAAAAACGACCGGTATTGTCCAAAATACATACTTGATTAATCATTCGAATCCGATTTATGACTTCTCTAATCAATTCTACTCGCAAAACCAATGCATGAGTACAAGTGACAGATGCAAATATGGACCCCCATTTTGTTAGGTAGCTAGTGAGATCAAGCCTTTTCGTTTTACAAGCGACGGACCAAGCTTGATCTTTACATTAGAAGACGCGAATGCGCATAAGATCTACAGTGCAATCTCGAATATAAATACTTTCAGGGTCCAGCAAGGTCGGACCAACGCCCGTCAAATGTGTACAAAGTTTGAGCATCTCAAATAAGGTTGCACCTCTTGTTTCTTGGATTCATATGATAAAGTAGTAAAGTTGCAACCTTTAACCGAAAGAAACATTTCTATAATCCTATGGCCCCAAAAGAGAAAGATTAAAAGAAAGATTCCAACCCAATAAATCGTAAATTTTTCTTGACTGCGTCGGTCGTTCATACTTTAAAATTCACGTACGTACACACCCCTTTTTGGCATGAACCCATTGAAGATTTAATCGAATCATTGCTCCGTTACTTTGAGCAAAAGGAAAAGGAAAAGGAAAGTGGGAAAGGGAGAGAAAGGATCTATTTCACACACTATAGTTCATTTCTTGCAAAGTAAACCTAAGTTCCAGTATGAAACCTCAAAAAGGGCTTGGATCAATGACATTTTCCTAGCTCTCAGTGGTATAATTTGGGCTAAAGTTCAAGAGAAAAAACAAAGGTGCTTCTTCTTTTTAGTTGCGACAAGATTCGAAAGTCTTTATTCATATATCATGCTAAATAATGAATGATTTAGTAACCAAGAACTAAATGAATGATTTGGCAATAAGGTACTACACGAAACGTGTGACGATAATCTTCCATTTCTAACTCGATACAACATACGAGACTCGCTCGACAATGGCGTATCATAGGTCATCGTACACATCATCCTCGACGATTTCGTGAAGTATATTCGCCCCACGAGGAAACAATAGCAAACACACGTGATTGAGATAATTATCCAAAAAGTCATAAACCTATTGTACAGCAGCCAATTCAGTCCTAAACCTTTTGAATTGTGTCAATTCGGTCATAAACCTTTTGACGATTTGCTAATTTAGTCCTAAACCTTTTGAAGTTTTGCCAATTCAATACTAAACCTATTATTTGGATAATTGGTCGAAATGACTACATTGACAAGTTATTAAAAGATTTAATACCAAATTGGCAAAATATCAAAAGGTTTATGACTAATTTGTCAAATCGTTAAAAAGTTTATGACTGAATTGGCCGACGTACAATAGGTTTAGAACTTTTTTGATAATTTTCCCCACATGGCTTCATTGTAATTGCATGTAACATCCGCAAAACTATCTAAGAAGAAATAAAACTTTGGGGTTTTTCCTGATATCAACGCAAAGTAATTACCGAAACTAACGGAAGGCAAATCTATCACGGTGTACCACTTTGGGGTTTTTGATGGTCGAAAAATTAATCTTTGATAAATTTGTCACGTGTGTACCGGTTTGAGGCCTTTTACGGTATTAATTTAAAAAAAAAAAAAGAAGAGAGGAGAAAAAGGAGCCAACTTGGCTGTTTTTATATGGATGGGGATGTGGATAGGGTCTACATTCAATGGTGAGCTAACCGAAAGCTACTCATAGGTCAAGACTAGGATGGGCCAGCCAAGCCCACATCATGTTCAAGCCTGAGGAGTTCACAGACATGGACCTAAGAGTTTGGATCCAAGACGGCTCTCGCGAGTCTTCTCCTCTCGATGTTCAAACCAATCCAATTCGACACATTCCTACACCTAAATAAGAGCACATAGAGAGAAAGAGAGAGAGATCTCCCATGGACTCCTAGCGAAACGCCACAATAAAGCCCCGCCCCTTCCCACTATTCAACTCCAATCGATCCTTGACCTTTGAAGGTTCAGAGGATTGATTCGAAAGGAAAAGGATGGATCTAGATAATCACGAGAGTAAAAAGAAGAGAGAGGATTTGACAGGAGCGGGGGATACCAAAATCGTTCGGACGCTGGCGAGAGAATCGAAATGTAGCCCTTTATGGGTTAGGAATACTCTGAGATAAGGTTGTGAACGAGAAGAAAGAGGAAAAAAAGTTTCGTTTACTGATATAAAATCCTTCCCGGTCCCTCCTACCAAACACGTGTCTACCCGATAACTCTGCAGTCGAAGTCTTGCCCGATGCACATGGAACGAATCGGTTTACATTCGCGCCCGAAAACCAACCGAGCCAAAATATCCGGATATTTCGTGCTTCCAAAAAAAAAAATTCGAGAATCGTTTCTTAAATTTCATTTGCAAAACCAATCGGGGATTTTTCCTCGGAAATTCTAATCCGGTGTCGCCGGAATCGAACGCCCGAGCACCGGAATCATCTCTCTACGACGAAAGGAAAATCCAAGATTCCTTTCGTATCGGGACACGCTCTGCGGTCGGAGCCTTGCGCGACGCACGCGGACGAATCGGTTTACGCTCATGCGCCGAAACCAACCCAGCCCCAAACGCCCGAAATTCCATCGCTTTTTTCCTTTAATTCTATTTTCAAAATCAGTCGGGATTTCACGAAATTCTAATCCGGCAAGTGTCCGCCGAAACCGAACGTACGAGCATAAGAACCATCCCTCTGGACAAGAACGGGAAAATTCGGGTTTGTGCCTCCCTTGCATCGGGGGCATACACTTTCGTACCTCGTTCCTCTTTATCCCCATCTATGTACCGTGCCGGACGGGATAACGAAATCAATTTTACGGAATTAATGCGAAGAACGAATTCACCGGTCGAGCACGGAACTCCAATTTTTGCTCTTTTTTTTTTTAATCACCAAAAACCGATCCCCTCGCGAAGATTAAATCTTTGCTTGGCCTCGAAAGCAAAAACGAGAAGAAAAAAAAGCAGGGACGCGAATGATGATCAGAAGGAAACGTCACCCGCTTTTACGTCACCGGGGGTCGGGGTCGGGGAACGGATAAGGTGGCGGTGCGGGAAGAGAGCGTGAAGAACATTCGATCAACGACCGAAAAGTCAATTCGGGACAAGGTGGGGGGGTCCCACCCCGGCTTTTCGAATTTCGGAGAAATTGCGCGTTATTTTTTTAATAATTTTTAAAAAAAAATGAATGATGAAAAAAAAGAGAGGAAATTCGGTCGGGTCTTTTTCCTCTTAGCGGATAAGGACGGGGCGGGGAGGGGGGTCCCACCCCCACCCCCCCGGTTCACACGCAATTAACGTCCGCCCCTTTCCCTTGCCCCCCGCCCTCCTCCCGACCCGACAGGCCCCACCACGAAACCCCGCTCTGCGGATAAGGTGGGCCCCCCCGCCCCCCACCTCGCTTCGCCTTTTCTTTCTGCATGGCACGAGGTGGAAAAGGAGGGAGAGACAGGGAGGAAAAGACCGAGGAAACGTAGCTACGAGGAGGAGGAGGACTGGAGGGAGGAAAAAAAATATCTCTTCCTTCCTCGTACACGCCTTTCCCTTCTCCTCTCCTCTTTTTTTCTTCTTTTCTCTTTTTTGGCTTACGTGGCAAGGCTCGCCACAAATTTTATCGAGGGATCGTTACGCGAATAGTCTCTGCACCTTGGCCTCGTGTGCAACGTGGCCCGTGAAATTTATTCTAATGTTTTGTTCAATACGATTCCTGAATCATATGAAAATATCCAATGTTACCCCTGAACTCGAATTAACGGAAGGACGACATTGAAAATTTTCATATAGTCTGAGGGCCAAATTGAACATGTATAAAAAATTCGAGGACTATATTGAGCAAATTTAAAGTTCGTGGACGACATTACACATTGGCCTACAGTTCGAGGACCACATTACAACACATTAGGTCAAAGTTTCAAGGATCATTTATGTCATTTTTTCCTTTTATTAACATGTATGCCTTCGAGTAGGTAAAATATTGTT